AAGATCCCGATACACAACAGTCGGAGAAGTCTATCAAATCAAGAGTACTACCATCCCGTTTAGCTAAAGAGGATATTGATTGTATAATGTATGCCAAGGAATTAAAAGGTGGATCTAAAAAAGTTTCGGAGTGGTATAGAATTGGTACACAAAAGTGTAATAAAATATGGAAGTCTGAGAACCCATACTCATATGCAAATTCAATCGAAGACGCGAACTTACCTAACTGGTACATCAATAATAGTAAATTTGAGAAGGTGAATACATCGCCCGAACCAACACCTCAAATAGATATACTCAAGAAACCCGATATTGCCAAGCCTGATCCTATAGAAGTAAAGAGGATGCGAAAACAGGGTGAAATGGAATGAATTGCAAAGAATATTTTTAGATCAGAATTGAGTAAATTAGTGCAAGCTGATGACTAAAATTATATAAAGATCTGGAGACAAATACATAACTAAACCATGTGCTAATTCTATTAATTTCATTCCGAGATTTTTTATTTATCAAATGTAAGGAAAGCGAGTCGACCTACCCATCTGTCATATATATTTTTTCAGTTAGCTCCATTGGTCTATTAAATAAAAAACTTTAGTAATAAAATCCACACGTTTGAGATATCAATTATATAATATGAGTTATAACAAAGTACGAGATAAGTTGAGTGAATATGGTGAAAATTATATTGTTAACATTATTAAAACGTCAGAAGCATGGTTACGGTTTGCAAAATATTATTCACCAAAATATATACGCAAGCGTTTATTAAAAGTAGGATATGAAATAAATAGTAGAGATTACTGGGAAAATTTTGTATTTCGTATCAAAAATAATTTAACCAGCCATAAACAAATAGGTAATAACCCTGAATATAGGGATTTTAAAGTTCAACTAGCATTGTATAAAAAAAATCATGCATCATTAATTATCTAGCAAACATATCGTTTATGGAAAAAACAAATTAATTCCGCTAAAATAATCCAGCATACAGTAATTAAATGGCTTTATCAACCCAATGGATTATTTATGAAACATGCCAAAGATCGATTTTATCAAAATGCAAATATATTACACAAAATTTAGCCACGTTTTCGTGCGACCCAATTTCTATATAGATGTATTTCAGAGAAATGACACAGTCTCGTGAAACATTCTTGTGTAGCATAGATAATCGTTATACGTATTTTTTTTCCACTTTATTTAGTCAGGGAAAACATCTATATAACTCATGCTTCACGATAAGAACCATTACAAACAAGGCGATAAGGAAGGATAGCTCAATAATCTTTTTAGTGTGCATATCAAAGGGCATATGTTTTTGGAAATCGAAATCTCCGCAATCTCCGAGATCATCGTGTGTCTCCCAGCTTTATAACCTGCATAATCATATACTATAAATAGCCACTGATTAGAGACGAAATTTTTTTTTCATTTTCTTTACTCGCATTATCTCACTTCATAAACGTAGCGCATAAACCAGATTTTTTTATGCCGTATATCAATATAAAAAAAATATGTCTTCTCACGCTTCTTCACCTTCCTCACCTTCAAGCATATACTCCGACGAAGAAAAAATAACTCGTACCATGGGTGACGTTATTAAAGATTATGATACTGA